TGGGAATGCCCCGTTGGAGGTACCCACCATCCCCAGGATGCAGCTTCCAACCTAAGAAAACTTTGTAAGTTCTGGGCTCCTGTTTTCCTCTCCCATTTCCTAAGGGATCCTAGATTGCTGGGAAGGGGTGTCTATAACTCCAAGGCTAGATGACACATCCTCTCCACTACCACCCCCACCTTGCTCCTACCCTGCTGCTGGGGACCAGCAGCAAGGGAGACAGATGGTCTGGGTGATGTCCCTCCCCTTCTCACTCCCAGCCTCTTGTGCTGTAGCTCCTGGGAGTTGTTTTAGCTCTGGAGAGGTGTTGAGTTTGTTGTGTCCATTTACTGGAGGTACAAATAGAGGCCTCAAAGCTTTTGGGCTTTAGTTTCTTAGAACTGTTACCCAGCCCAAAACAGTGCTTTGTCTAGAGAAAGAAACTAAGGTTTCTGAAGCCCTTTTTTAGAATCGAAGAGAAACTCAGATGTCATACTTTCATTCTCTTCAGTCTTTTTTTTTTTTGGTCAGACTGGGCCTGGGTGCTGTCCCTCAGCTCTTCAGCTCAACGTGAGCCCTCTTACCACTTGAGCCACAGCACCACTTCTGGCTTTTTCTGTTGATGTGGTACTGAGTAATTGATTCAGGGCCTCATATGCATACAAGGCAAGCACTCTACCACTGAGCCACCTTCCCAGCCCTCTCTTCAGATTCTTAAAGTGACCCTAAAACTAAGGGAGAGAGGCAGTTTTGCTTTTGAGGAAAGGATGGCCTAGGTAAGAGATAGGGGCTAGTCCTGAGAATTTTAGCTCTTGTGTTCACTGCCCAGGCCTATCCTCTGATGCACTTCTTGAGTTTGGACTTCCAATGTGGCCTTATTTGTCTGAGGAGACAACTTGGGGGGCTTGGTGGGGTCTATTCCTTGCTGGAGACACAGGCTCAGTCCAAGACTGGCGTGGGAAGGCAGTTTGTGTGGTGCTTAGAGCATGTAGACATGGCCCATGAGAGCTCCTGAATGGGTTGAGGGCCTTTTGTGGCCACCCTCATTCTGCCTGGGGCTGCTGGGTTCCAGCCCTTAGTAGGCGTGTTGGGACGAGCTGAGGATGGAAGCCTGTTGGGCAGGATGAGACACACTCATGTGCAGGCACACACAGGCTCCAACTCTTGGCACCTTCAGGAACTGTGTAGTCTGGGCCCCTCTGGGACCCCCTTTTTGCCCACAGTGTGAGGAGGGGCCTTTGGGGAGAGAATTAAATGACATATTGGCACAAGGTCTTCCTTTGTCTCTTTCCCTCAGGAACAAAATAGATTTTGTATCTAAATTGGGGAGGGGACTCATATACAGCTATTGAGCTACCCTTCCAAATGCAATCAAATTTGGGAAACCTGTGAAAGCAAATATCACTGGGCCTTAAACCTTTGGGGCCATGCTTTGGCTTTTCCTTTCTGGGAGGGAGGAGAAGAAACAGAGTACCTGGCTCCTACCCAATTGTGAATTTAACTGTTGACAGAAAATAGTATTCTAGGAACCATATATGCTGCTAGATGAGGTGGAAAAGAGACTGCCTAGATATACATCCATGACTCCTGTCTAGTTACTACTTATCTATAGACTGAGACCCCAGGAATCTAGAATACCGGGCCTCCTATGTTCTACGTGGAAGTAAAATTGGATCCAGTGGAGGCTCCTCCATTTACTGCAAATCTCAAGAAAAAGCCTAAGGCTTTGGGTTTCTGGTTTGGAAACAATACTCTACCCAAGGTGGGTGTGGGGGCTGGGCTGATAAGGGAGTGGCGGTTGGTGGGAGTGGGGGAGAGACAGAGGCCCAACTGGTTATCTGGTGGGCGGCACCCCCCTTTATCTTTCTATCCCCTGCCCTCCTAATACTTGGAGGGTGAGGGAGGGATAGAGAGTTTTCCTAGTCTCCCTTTGTCTGCCCCACCTTGGTTACTTGAGAGCAATAAAAGGGTCAGATGGTAGTTGATGATATGGTAATATCTAGGTTTGGATCCATTCTGTCAGGTAATAAGTTTGGGTTTTTTTGGGGGGGGGGCAGTTGCGAGTCTTGAATTCAGGGCCTAGGCACTGATCCTGAGCTTCTTTTGCTCAAGACTAGTGTTCTACCACTTTGTGCCAAAGCACCACTTCCAGTTTTTGAGTGGTTAATTAGAGATAAGATTGGGAGGGATTGGGGGCCACCAGCTGGTTGGCCTCAAGCTGTGATCCTCAGATCTCAGCCTCCTGAGTAGCTAGGATTACAAATGTGAGCCACAGGCACCCAGCTAGATAGTTGTTTGTTTGTTTTGGCCATTTCTGGGGCTTGAACTCAGGGCTTGGGCACTGTTCCTGAGTTCTTTTGCTCAAGGCTAACACTCTACTACTTGAGCCACAGAACCATTTGTAGCCCCTTTCTGTTATTGTGGTACTGAGGAATCTAACCTAGGGTTTCATGCATGCTAGGCAAGCACTCTAATACTAAGCCATAGATAGTAGTTGGTTTTTTTTTTTTTTTTT